CAATATCTTGACATGTACGTGTTTTCGTTAGCCAACGTATGGGTATCATGACAACTCTAGATTCTTGTGATTTAAGTTAAATTTTATATAGATGTCAGTAACAACAGACCCATTCACCATGTAGAATATGAAATCTCATATGCAATCAACGATATTCGAACGAAAGAAACACGATGTAAAAATAGAGTAAAAAGAAACAGACACCAACACAAGCACACATTTTTATTTGCGCAGTCTATAAGCAAGACCGAAAAAGATATACCTTCGTTCCGTTACAATGATTCTTTTATAGATTTTTTTGTTTATTATTCGATTCACTCGACCACGTGAGTATTATGTTTGAACTACAGAATTACACAGTTGCTGATGGTATTAATTATGAATACATTTATATCAAAGCAAAAGATGATTCAAAACCAACCTTATTATTTCTTCATGGTTTTCCATCATCATTCTATTGTTGGCGTTATCAAATTGAATATTTCTCTAAGCAAGGTTATGGCTGTTTAGCACCAAATTTAATGGGCTACGGTAAAACATATTCGCCATTGGATCAAAATGAATACAAAACTAAATCAATGGTTCAACATCTTATATCTCTTCTTGATCATTTGAATTTAAGTAAAGTTATCGTTCTTGGACATGATTGGGGTGTTCGACCAGCAACTCGATTTGTTTTATATCATCCTGAACGTACATTAGGTCTTATTTTATTTAATCTTGGTTATTTTCCACCGGCGAAGTTTGATTTTGAGCAAACATTATCATTGACAAAGAAAGCCTTTGGCTATGAAACTTTTGGTTATTGGGAATTCTTTAATTCTGATGATGCAGCGAAAATTCTCGAAGACAATGCGGACCGGTTCATCGATCTTGGTTTTACAAATGATCCAAAATTATGGACAACAGATTTTGCTCCTCTTGGTAAAGTTCGAGAATGGTTAACAGGCAAAAAAACGACAACTCGAGCTTCATTTTTCACGGATAAAGATTATGAGATCATACGTAAATGTGTCACTGAAGGAATGCAACCAAAACTAAATTGGTATAAATCAGCTATGGCTAATATTGACTGGGATGATGAAAAAACTCTTGATCCTACAATAAAACGACCAGCTCTTTATATTGCGGGTACAAAAGATTATATATGTGTTCCACAATTATTTGCTGATCAAAATAAGTATATAGCGGATTTAGAAACAATTGAATTAGAAACTAGTCATTGGACTATGGAAGAAGATCCAGAAAAAGTCAATGAAGTAGTTGAAAAATGGCTTCAACAAAGAATTTAAATGGCACCATACACTTGTCTTTAGAAAAAAAACGATAATTTTCTAACCGTTAAAAATAATGTTCTATCAATTTTAATTTAAAAATAACACACAATTTGCATGTGTCATAATTCTATCACAATTATAAATCAGTTTATACTAAAAGAAAATTGCGTCATATCAAATAATCTAGCTCACTAACAAAATCAAATAAATTCTAATAAATTCGAGAGAAGCGAATATTTGGTTGTTTAATTAGATTTACTCAAGCGCTAAGAGATGAGACATATGATATTATTCTTTAATTGAACTATGCATAATTGCATAAAACGCCGGTATCATTCATCACTCTACACGGTAGAAAATGGTCATGTTCGCCTCTTCTTGATACTGTTCTTCATATATCTTGGTCAATATGCACGTGGCCTGTACATGTGAGCCTCACTGACATAGGATTTACTAATGATAAGTAGAATGTTTACTATTGGAATTACTAGTGCTGAAAACTCAAATTGAAATGATATGATTCATGGCAGTTTTAATCAATAGGTTGCCTGTTTGTGCAACAGAAAACGATCTGTCTAACATCCATATGAATATGAATTATCAAGTCATATTCATAATCATAATTGGATGAAAAATTTTGGTTGTAACACCAGAATTAATCAACAGTCGACCAAGCCAAGTCAAAATCAACAAGAAATTGCTACGTCATCGTCATCGAAATGAAGGTTTTCGTATATTAATGCTCCCCATGAATTTAAGAAAGATGATAATGTCTTATGAATTCGTTCTCGTGGTGAATCAGCATCACAATCCTTTCCTACTATTTCGTATTATAGTACAAAATGCAAATGGCTATCCAGAAACAGAATTAATTATAATTAAGCTCGTGAATAAATTTTTAAAAGTGAATCAAACGTACTGACGATGTGCAAAATCAGCAAATAATCAAATGTGATTTTTACTTTATATAAGCACAACAGCACAGTTTGAACATTTTATTTGCGAATTTAAGTGGCGTAAGAAAATTTGTAACAGTGATCATCAATTAGATTCACCAAATAAAAGATATCTCTATCATATTCCATCGTGGTTCTAAATGCTCCTTCTCGATGGGATGCACAAACTTTTCATACTAAATTGAAACACCATTGTGCATTAATTGTAAATGCAGTACGTCTATATATAAGAAGTGGGCGTTTCTTAGTTACAGCTCGTATTGATTTTTCTTCTTATAATGAATTATCAAATATATTCAAATCACAACGTATAATATTAGATTATAATAATACTGCATACACAATTAAATCATATCTATCACCAACACAAGTATTAGGTTGATTTAACTGGCAAGTATACAAAGATCATATTGCTGCTGCTCATTTTACAAATAGAAATGATTCAATATGTTTTACTGATGAGATACCAAAAGTATCAAGATTTTTCAATGAAAAAAAATAAAAATAAAAAAGTTACGCTAGATTTGATTTCATTAAATGTTCGCAGTAGGCTTTCTGATTATTTATACACGACGGCATTCGTTCTAACTATTTATCGATTTTTTTTATAGTCAACTTTGTTGATCGAGTTTATGATCTTGGTAACGACACGATACAAGATCTGTGAGGTGCTCTGATCAGTTACATTCTGTTTGATCAGATTGGATAACCAAAAATTACACGGTACAAGGTCTTGAAAATTCGCTGTTTGACGAACGTTTTTAATACTTTTCAATTTGAGGTAGTTTGAAAAATCTGTATGAACATACGGTTTTGCATTGCCGTGATTAAGTTTTACAGCATGTGTATCAAATGTTGGTCTTTTCTTCCGAATTTCCTTAATAAGAGGTCCCAAACAATGATCGATGGTCTTTCGTTGATCAATATGATGAATCAAAGACAGAACCAATCATTTTGAAAACGATGCAAAGTAAAGTTTTCTGAGTAAAGTAACTACATCGAAACGAAGTAGGCAGAGTTCCACTGATTTGGTATCCAGGTAGTATGATTTTCGGTCTATTTGTTTATGATAAAACCATGACTTGTTACCTGTCACAATATCACATGGTTGCTATGTTATTTATTGAAGTTCCTCCAAATTCTCTTGACAAAGCTTAACTGGTTCGGCTCGTTGAATACCAATCAATAAGTTGGACATCCAGCAAGCAGAAATATTTTTCAGCTTTGCATGGTCAGAAAGAATTTGTTCCAGGGTATGATGACTCATGCCAGTCTCCAGTAGCATTTCATCAATCGTAAGATGAGAAGCGTCTTCAATGGGACAATGAGCTTTTTCAATGTTTGCAGATGTTGTCTCAGTTACGGATCGACCAAGTCTTGGTTGATATTCAATGTCTCTATAGTTCTACAATATTTCATCATTCTTTCGGTGATATAATAATAGCAAAGTTTCGATGTGATAAAGTTTGTTGTCGATTTTTCTTAAACTTTTCTTCTTGAGAATACTTGACAATTAATTGCACACATGAAAAAACTGAACAACACACGTGTCTTTATACGTATAAAGACTGCTGATTATCACAAGTAACAAACAAGAGAAGATAGGAAAAATTCAAAGAGAAATCAAACGAAATGCACGAGAAAAATATTACGTCTAGCCAGGGAACCATTTCAAGTGATCAGTCGTTTCCGAGTCCGCACTATATGCAACAGGTAAAACCTAGTGAAACATGCATAGTCCTAAAACAATAAGTACCCTTAGACCTTTCCTTCTATGTTATAACCATTTTGCTACAACTTGAGACCATGACAGAGTATACATCAACAGATCGAGTGACAGTATTTCACCCTGAGATCTTGTTCACAGACAGATCTACTTGGGATTAAAATATTCTGAGAAATCTAAATGCAAATGAATGTTTTCTTTGCGAGATATTAAATTTCCAATAACTAAAGATTCTCTCACCCTTCGTGGGATATGAGGGATTTTTTTTGAAATTCAATGCCATATATTATCAAGAAGAAAACTTTACAAAATTAACAGTAAACTTTAACGTATCGAAATGTTGCTATGATAATATCACTGGAAAATGAATGAAATATTGTAGAATTATAGAGCACGATTGGAACTATCAGCACATATAGAGAGAAAATTTCTTCAAGGTTTCCATATAAAGTTTTATAGTGTTAGCGTCACTACTTTTTGTGTGCTCTAAATATATTCCAATAACTTCAATGCCCTATATGATCCACGGCGTATTCCAGAACTTGAGAATTTCAGTACACTCACAAGAATATGTTTTACCCTTACTCTCAATTTTCAACGGTATATACTAAATGAAGGTATCTATGCATTAAATCCACTCAAACTTTTGAACTATGGATTTATTTTATAATTGAGCAGCGTAATGAGATGTTTGCTCATTTCAATATCTTGACATGTACGTGTTTTCGTTAGTCAACGTATAGGTATTATGACAACTCTAGATTCTTGTGATTTAAGTTAAATTTTATATAGATGTCAGTAACAACCGATCCATGCACCATGTAGAACATGCAATCTCATATGCAATCAACGACATTCGAACGAAAAAGATAACAAGGTAAATATACAACAAAACGAAAACAATTCGAACAAGGGCACGCTTAGACATGTTATTTTCATAATGCTTATCTAAGATTAAAAAAGACATATTGAAACGCTGTGACTATTATTCTTTCGTAGATTTTTTGCTTATCATTGAATTCACTCGACCACGTGAGTATTATGTTTGAACTACAGAACTACACAGTTGCTGATGGTATTAATTATGAATACATCTATATCAAAGCAAAAGATGATTCAAAACCAACCTTATTATTTCTTCATGGTTTTCCATCATCATTCTATTGTTGGCGTTATCAAATTGAATATTTCTCTAAGCAAGGTTATGGCTGTTTAGCACCAAATTTAATGGGCTACGGTAAAACATATTCGCCATTGGATCAAAATGAATACAAAACTAAATCAATGGTTCAACATCTTATATCTCTTCTTGATCATTTGAATTTAAGTAAAGTTATCGTTCTTGGACATGATTGGGGTGTTCGACCAGCAACTCGATTTGTTTTATATCATCCTGAACGTACATTAGGTCTTATTTTATTTAATCTTGGTTATTTTCCACCGGCGAAGTTTGATTTTGAGCAAACATTATCATTGACAAAGAAAGCCTTTGGCTATGAAACTTTTGGTTATTGGGAATTCTTTAATTCTGATGATGCAGCGAAAATTCTCGAAGACAATGCGGACCGGTTCATCGATCTTGGTTTTACAAATGATCCAAAATTATGGACAACAGATTTTGCTCCTCTTGGTAAAGTTCGAGAATGGTTAACAGGCAAAAAAACGACAACTCGAGCTTCATTTTTCACGGATAAAGATTATGAGATCATACGTAAATGTGTCACTGAAGGAATGCAACCAAAACTAAATTGGTATAAATCAGCTATGGCTAATATTGACTGGGATGATGAAAAAACTCTTGATCCTACAATAAAACGACCAGCTCTTTATATTGCGGGTACAAAAGATTATATATGTGTTCCACAATTATTTGCTGATCAAAATAAGTATATAGCGGATTTAGAAACAATTGAATTAGAAACTAGTCATTGGACTATGGAAGAAGATCCAGAAAAAGTCAATGAAGTAGTTGAAAAATGGCTTCAACAAAGAATTTAAATGGCACCATATACTTGTCTTTAGAAAAAAAAACGATAATTTTCTAATCGTTGAAAATAATTTTGTATCCATTTTAATTTAAAAATAACATAAAATTTGCATTGGTTATAATTCTATCACAATTGTAAATCAGTTTTTATCAAAAGCACATTGCAAAAAGTTCCTTAGAAAATCATACAGAAATAAAATGACTCTTTGTATTTTCATTTTATGTAAATTGAATTTATAATTGATTTTAAATAGTACATGGTAGTAATCATAAGTTTGAAAAAATGTCCAATTTTTTTGTGATGTCGAACAAGGAGATAGAAAATAGCACAAAAGGCAAATCAAAGAGTGCATGCTTCTAGTGTCTACTAGAAAATGTTTGAAAAGTTGTCAAAATGTTCTCAATGATTAAGGAGTTTGTTTGCAATTAACTTAGATAAATTTGAGATTTATGAATACAATCAGACTTAATGAATTAGGTAAGGAAATAATCATTTGATTTCTTTCGAATATAAAAAGTCAAAATTAGTGCCTGTTTAACTGTAGCCATAGATGGAACCGGTACCGGGAACTGGCCGGTCCGGTACCCGTCCAGGCTTTAGACCGGCCGGTATACCGGTTTGAAACCGGTCTGCCGGTATACTGGTAAGATACCGGTATGATACCGGTCTTACTTTTTCATTTTCCCGTTTTCGTCATAACTACCAATGCAGAGCTGTTTTTGACGGAAAAATAAACTGCTCTCAGGCAGTATTTGATGTTGACAAGTGATCCATTGTCGGTAGATCGATATTTTACTAGTAGACCGGTATTTTACCGGTAGACCGGCCGGTCCGGTCCGACCGGTTCAGACCGATACCGGTCGTCGAAAAACTAGACCGGTTCCATCTATGCTTTGTGAGGAATCTAAGTTTCAATGCAAATAGTATGACAAAAAACGAGATGATGAAATTGATGAAACATCTATTTGAAGAAACAAGAATAGAAGTCCATTCAAGGCTTTTCCACTCGAAATCGGATCTCCGACCAAGTACATGCGATTGAGCTGAAACTTTGTGGACAGGTTAGGGTACTTACCATAGATATATAAACAATTTCAACTTCATTTCTTTTTATTTTTCAGAAATATAACAACTTTAGTACCCATTTTGGGGCATTCCGCATCTCCAAGGTCATTCAATCATCTCAATACATAGAGTCAATTTTTTCATTTGAAAGAAACAACTTAAGGCTAGTGATTCTAGAGCATCTTTTTTCTCCAAAATAGGCCTTAGTCGAAGAAAAAAATGTTATTATTATCAAAATTTGACCGTTTTTTTTTTAATTTCGCGATTTCACCTGTAATGGATGTCTCAAATAATCAGCAGTGTAAAATGAAAAACACACGCTTCAGAATCACTAACCTTAAGTATCTTGTTTCAAATGAAAAAATTGACTCTATGTATTGAGATGATTGAATGAGCTTGAAGATGCGGAATGCCCCAAAATGGGTACTAAAGTTATTATATTTCTGAAAAATAAAAAGAAATGAAGTTGAAATTGTTTATATATTTATGGTAAGTACCCTAATCTGTCCACAAAGTTTCAGCTCAATAGAATGTACTCAGTTGGAGATCCGATTTGGAGGAGTGAGGGTTTTCAGCCTATCAAACTATCGCACCATGTGTTTATATCAAAACCAATCTTGACAGGGCAAGCCTTATGACGCTTGTATATCTTTTTATTTAAGTAAGACTTTTTATCACATTTGTTCCAATGTTTTTCATTTTTTTTAGCCGACTCGACAAGCATCGAACAGATGATTAAAGCTCAAAAAATAACCTTGCAAAAGTTTTTCTTCAATACGGACAATTTCTTCAAATTGCATGCTTCAAAAATACCAAAAGATAGTTTTCAACATTTAATACGTTTTCCTTCCCATGATGAACCATGTGTAATTAATTCATAAAGTTTTAAAATGCGTTCATTTCATTTATCATTCTAGATTATGTGGTCAACATGGGATAATCAAATCAATTCACTAACAGAAATTGGTCGTGTGAGAATGTTTCAGTTGGAAAATATTCAAGTAAGCATATAAATTTGGAACAATATGTCGTCTAAATAAGATCATTACATTTCAGGATTTATTGACATTGTTCGAAAATTTCAAGGTAACGTTGATTGACGATTTAGTGAAAAAATATAGTTTCTGTTTCATGGAAGTTAAATTTATTTGGCCTTACTTTGCTGCTCTTCAAGCTATTATGACATTCATATGTTTTATACACTTTTACTCTCTTAAAGCAAATTTTGCAACAGATAAAGGAAGAAAAAAAGACATGGCTTGCGAAGCTTATACGAACGACTTTTTTTTGTGTCTACTTAAACAAGATAGTTGGCTGGAAAGAATACATAATAATGATCTAGCTCGTCTGAGAAAATAGATGCATTTCATTCTCTTTATTATCTTTATCCAATTCTGTCGGATGTAAACATAAAATTGTTCATCGTCGTCGCCCGATATTGTTTTTTCTACTCACTCTCACCCGTTTAGTCAAGTGCACATATGAGTGACGAAAAGAGCAAAACAAAAGATCAATCGCATATATATACATCAATATATATATTTCTTTTTCCTTCAGAGTGAGAATACCCTATGATGAATTTTTACATACATATAACGGTAAGGAAATGTTTTGTTGCATCATCCTTTCTCTTTTTACCATTAAACTGTCTTTTTGTTTTTTTAATGCACTATTTTTCACCTACGCTTTACGTAGAGTGTCTATATTTTGTAAGACAAATGTTGATGTAATTTTTTATTGTTATAGGTCACTCAACAACTACCAATTAACAACCAGAACAACATAAATGTAAATCCCAATATGATGCAAAGTCCAACAATTACTGCTAGTCCAAACTGTACCTATGCATCAACAAGTGGTCCTGTTTCTAATTCTTCGCCATATGGACGAACACGTGGTCCTGCTTTTAATCCTTCATCACATGAACTAACACGTGATCCTGGTTTTCATTCTTCATCATATGATTCCAACGCGTGGTCTTGCTTCTAATTCTTCACCATATGGACCAACACATGATCCTGCTTTTAATGCTTCATCATATGGACCACAACAATACGCATGTAATGAAACCTCAGCAGATATATTGAATCAAAATAGTAATTTCTATCAAAGAGAGACACCTATGTCGACAGAATTAAATTATGTTCGTGCTATGTTTAAAGTAAGTCTTATTATGTATTGAGTTTATCTTTTTGAGTGAAAAATGTTTCGATTATAAACGATTTAACAGATTTTGTCCAATAAAAATTTCCTAAATTGAATATAATTTTGATTTTTTTGCACAACAAATCGATTATAATCGGAACATTTTCTACTGGGCTGTTACGTACTTGAGAAGATAAATTTATAATTTTGTTAATGGTTTTCTAGGCTTGCAGCGAATGTGGTGAATTAAATCATAGAAATAGCAACAGCTGCAATGGTCGAAACTGTGCTCTCAATCGAATGAAACATTAAGGAAGAAGAAAAAGAACTTCTCTTTGAGAGAAGAAAATAATAATTTTCTTGTCTCATTGATTGTATCCCTTCACCAGTTGGAAAGTTATGAATATCTAAAAAAGTAAAATAATCAAGAGGAAAAAAAAAGTTTTTCTTCTTTTCCTCCATAAAATTATGTTTAATGTTTACTGTTCATTATTATTATTCTATGGTTATTATTCTTCTTTCTTTCTTTTTTCTTGTTCTTTTTTTCTATGTTGGCTTTCATTAACTTGTCTTGTTCTCTATCCTTCATCTTCAAATCTTATCTCTCTATTTTTCTGTACTACCAGGACTCAAGAGGTCACCAGTTGCTGCAAATAAATATAAAAATTTCTCTTTTTTTTATGCTTTTTTTCTTGGATCTAATAAAGACGATCAATATTTCATTCTCTTCATCTTTTGTTGGATGCTTATGGTGCCCTTTATATTAAATCAAGGACAAAAAACATCAATGAGTTTCAATAATTCAAGTATTGATGATTATTAGTTCAGTTTAACATGATTTGAGTGATAAATTGTCGTTTCTAAATTTGTTTCATTGTCATTGGACCACAGGCTCTCATTTGGCCATCCTTAATATTTTCAATCGCTAGCATTTTTAAAACATTTTAAAAATATTTGTATCAAGAAGACAATCATTTGGATTTTTTTCTTTATTTTGCTTCACATTGAACATCTTTTGGTAAAATTCAATTTGAGTATTTGAAGTAAAAATTAAAGAATTGATATTCTATAGACTCAGATTTATATTGTTTTTTATTTTCTCAAATCAATTTTCATTTACTATAAGAATCATTCTAAAAATTTTATGCTATGGAAAAAACCCAATACGTTTTCGGAGTCCAGGAATTCAAATCTATAGAAAGTTTGTCGAAATTCTCGAATGCAAATTTATCGTCCGAGAAAGACCTCGTGATGTTTTATAGCTTCTTTTTTGAATATAATATATATTTAGAAGAATGTTTCATAAACTTAAAATTTCTGATTTCTAAAAATTATTGTCAGTTGCAAATAAATAACACAATCGAAATCATCTTACGAGATATCTTTAAAACTATTTATGATTATTTTCTTCATTAGTCACTTCATAATATTAGAAAGACATCGTCTTCTTTAGTTATAACAGTACAAATACTACGACTCAGAATTTGACAAATATGAGATTCGAGAGGAATACTTCGGTCATTGTACTAATGTAACTTAAATACTTTCCTTGCTAATTCGTATTACTGGAAATTCTGCATTTTTTGTTTCTTATCTATGTCATTAAAACTCGTTCTTCTTTATATGTAAGTACAGCAGATCGACTAGTTTTCTATTTCAAAATATTTTTCAAAATTTTGAATTATTCAAAAATCTCATCCATTACTAACACATAAACAATGTCAAAGTAAAACAAACATTTTTCTTTTAATTGGATTAAAATTTTCATTATACATATATATATTTATTTCGATAAATTAAACTAAAACATACCAGTGCCATCATAAATAGTAAAACTTTTTTATAAGTTACATTTTTAAGTTTTTGCGCATCATTTTTTCGTGTTATATTCATATGACAATTAAGATTATTAAAATCTTCTTTAATAATATCAATTGATATTGTCATTGAAAATATTTATAACGTTAATGGTAAATATTTAGGTAATAATTGTTTATTTAATGTTTGTTGGTCAAGTATTAACATCATTTCAATACGATCATAAACAATTAATTGAGCTAAACGTAATACAGATATATATGATAATGGAAGAAATTATTCAATTAATAAAACTAATACAAGATCACTTTCATCTAAATGTATTCCTTCACAAACAAATAAATGACTTGCAACTGATGTACGATGTATAAGACCAAATAAATTATGTACAAATATTACTTTGTTCAAATAAAAAAAAAATTGATGATGTGTTATTATTGATGTTCGATATTCAACATATAATTCATGACGACATATTAAATCACAATAAGATTGTAATTGACCACTTCTGAATGTGTTCTTGATGTTGATGGTGTTAATATTGGTGACCACTATGCTTAAAATAGTTAAATATGAAAATGTATCAAGACGATGTATAGTCTCATCATGAATTGATAATTGGCGAAAATTATTTACAATTGTTTAGTTAAAATAAAATTATAGATCTTATAAATCATAGGAATTTTAAAGTCAAATGTTTTTCGCTAGCTCATTAGTAATTAATGAATTGCAGGAAAGTTTTATCTTCAAATTAATGGGTAATATGTTACTATCATATAGATTATGATGAAAACTGAAGGTCTTTTGACTTTGATAGGAACCAGTTTTAATCTGTTCAGTTAGTTTGTTTCTCCTAAAGTTTCAAACCGAAATTTTTAAATCAATCATTCTAGTTTTCATTAGAAAGGTGACGACTTCAACTAAAAATGAGGTTCCTATTGTTCGGTGTGGGTGTGGGTGTGGGTGTGGGTGTGGGTGGGTNACTTTTCATTGGAAAGTGACCCAGAGCCGTACGACCACTCATTTTGCTCAGAATTTTTAGCTCTATCCGATGCATACATTGAAAATGTTGTCTGACATGCCCTTCGAAAAGTCAAAAATGGGGTCTTACGTATTTTCAAAAACATTACATAACGAAGTCACCTTTAAAAGTCTCAAATATACTGCATTCGATAGAGAACTTCGAGAGCTATCAGAATCACTGTTTACATTTGATCCAGCTATTCGTTTTCATAGAAACAAAACAATGACAAAGGGGGGGCTATAATTTTGATATACCCTGTATCTCATTTTTCGAAAAGAATTAGCGCTTATACTTGCCCCTCCCCTTCCGGCTGTTTTTTTCCTAACTGGTTTTATTTGCCCTGAGTGTTCTGAAGATGTGAGATCATTAGACCAGAACTTGAACTTTTCAATTTTACGAGAGATCTACTCGAGGTATAACTCGTCATTTAAACTCTTATTAAATACACAAGGAAGTCTGGGTAAGGCTAGAAATGTTTTCAAAGTCTTCGTGCTCATTGACATGTGGAGCCGAGTTATGCCTGTTTCACTGGATTTTCGATCCATTTTTAGGTATTTACTGAAAAATCAAATAGCAGAATTTCGATCTACAATTCTGCCTATAAATAACGGGTGCGGCAGAATAAATTGCCGACTTTTGACACGCTGTTTTCTCAACTTAAACTTGATGAGGAAGTTTCGTTTTGATGTTAAAAGATAGAGAATTTTGTATAGATTTTATTGATATGTTCCTTGCAAAATAAGCATTTGTCCTTCGCTTGTATCACAAATGGTACTAGATGCCACAAAAACATTAGCTGCTCAACTGGTAAATGAGACACTTGTGTACAAGAATTTTTGCCCAGTTAATCAAAAAATGTATCTTCATAGTAAGAGATGTAGAATTTTTTTCGATGTTTCTCGTGGTGTGTTTGTTTTTATAAGCTTAGTTGTTTCGGCTTCAAAAACCGCAAAACATCAATAAAACAACCTCGGCCAATGGAATCGTCCTTTTCCTCGTTAATTTTCTACAAACTTCGATTTACAAAAAACTATTCTTTTTTTATCAAAAGATGCAGAAATTCAAGCTCTAAAAAATGCTTCTCATTATAAGGGCTGAATTGCTTTTCTAACCTAGTGCCGAAGCTAATATGTTTGCATGAACATAAAAAGGTGCCTAAAAGAGGCGATTGGGCATTTTTTGCGAGTGGTTTTTAAAACTCAGAAGCTTAATCTCAGAACTTGGTATTGGACCTAAAAAACAGATGTGGATCTGTACCTTTTTTATTCTGCGTTTTGATAGCTTATGTTAAATAATTTAATAAAGAAAAATGACATTTTATTCCATTAAAATGCTGAGCAGTTGATGTCTTTGTGGTGTCTAGTACTCTTAGTGATACAAAGAAAAGACAAATGTTCATTTTGTGAAGAACATATTAATAGAATCTACACAAAATTCTCTATCTTTTAACATCAAAACGAAACTTCCTCATCAAGTTTAAGTGGAGAAAACAGCATGTCAAAAGCAGAGTTGCCACCTCTTCTGCTTTTAGCAGAAAAATTCTGCTTTTTGAAGTTTTTTCTAATACTGCATAATTTATAATTTTAATCAACACTTTTTATCTCGAAGGTCTTCATTTCCATAAATAGATAAAAATCGTATCAAAAGCTACTGATGCTTGTGTTCTATTATAATTCTTTCTATTTTGTACAAATGACTTTTATTTTCTACTGACCACAAACAACTCACAATGAATATTTTTGCTGCTTAATCAATTTCTTACCTATAGTTTTCCATCGTATTTTTTATTATTCATTTAATTTATATACATCAACATATACATTCTCTTGTTTATTCATCCGATGAAACAGGAAGAATTAATATGATTTCCGAGGACAAAAGAACAGAAAAAAAAAATAGTTCTAGATGATAATGACAGCAAGACTAGCAAAGAAGGTATTCATGAAGTAGTTGTAGTTGCTGAACAAACAAATATGCCATAAAGAAACCCTATAGAAGCGTCTTAAACAGAGAATGGCTCAAAGTCGTTGAATATTAATGATTTATAAAAGAATATAAAATAGGTCCATCTCAGTCAACATTAATTGTTGGTTATCAATATTTTTCAGAACATCACAATAAAAAGCTAACATTGATAATCTTATGAACACTCAGAAGCATAAAAAGTTATGAAATCTTATGATTTAAGCAACGATTAGCTTGAATCTCTCCTCTTCATATACTAAAATGGATACATACTAATTAGGCAAGCAAAATTTATTGAAAGTTCTTAAATCAGATGAAGAATGCACTTTAAAAAAAGAAAACATGTCCAAAGATTCTGTTTATTTGTTAGTTGGTTATCTTTCATGATGTTACGCAGTGAATATCAAAATTCGATGTGAAAATTGTTAATCAGTACACTAAAACAAAAATTTAAAACCAGTTTCATATGATAAACATAGTTTCTGCTTTTTTTCTGTTTTCTGATGATAAAATTTCTGTTATTTTCTGCTTTTCTTAAACTGTTTTCTGCTTTTCAGACTTCAAAAGGTGGCAACACTGGTCAAAAGTCGGCAATTTATTCTGCCGCACCCGTTAGTTCTAATGATGCTTGGAATATCCTAAAAATTTCAGTCGATAAGAATATGTTATATCTGGTAATGTTGTTGTGCATAAAAGTTTATTAATGAAGTTTAATTTAGATGGTCCTCACATAGAAACAACTAGTATATACGTATATCATATATTAGGAGCAAGGTGGAATATACCAATAAATGATATAATACAGTTGAAAATATAAATGGGTTATTTTATCAAGACAAGAAGAACAGCGAATGAAGAAACCAAAAGAACATAGTAGGGAAATACCTGAAAGAACGAAAGAAAAGAGATAATTATAGTTAACATGTATATGTACAGAAAGGAAGAGAACGAAAAAATATGCATTATACCTGTAAATTTGTCTTGTGGTACATCTTACGCACGTGTCACAACAAAATGCTTCTTTATCAAAATATTGAATTTTCAAGTAAACGTAATTGTTATGAAATATCTGTGGCAAGCGACTATTTGTTAAAAGTCAAATATCTCTACAAAGCAACATATTTTTCTGCTAAAACATTCAGGATATGCCAAGAGTCATTAGACCGATATATGAACTGAATTTTAGTTAGAAATTCTATTCTTTGATTTTTCCGTAAATACTTAAAAATGGATCGAAAATTTAGTAAAACGATCATAACTCGAGTTCAAAGATCGATGATGAAGCCTTTGAGAAGTTTTCTAATCTTGCCGAGACCTCTGTGTGTATTCAATATTGGCTCAAACGGCAGATAACAGCGCGAGTAGTCCTCTAGTTAGCAAAAAATCAATATTTTACGAAAAAAAATTACTTATAACATGCAACTGAGGATTCTTCAGAAAATAAAAATAAAACTATCTTAAACAATGACTTTATTAACGAGCACTGCCTCTCATTAAAAAGTGCTCAGTTACAAATTTATTTTTTAGCACGTCAGAAAGGCTATTTTAACCTATAATTTTACAATGATTTGTTACTGTTGAAAAGTAAACTTTTTATCATCAATGTAGTTTTATGCAGTCTATCAAAACAATTTAAAAAAAAACTATGGTACCTATAACTATAATTTGAACTTCTGATGAGAGTAGATTGAAATGGGAATCGAAATTTTACAAAACATAATTAAAGAAAACGGTACATATACCCACAATCAACGGTTTTTTGTTTGATTATTTTTGTATCATGAATGTTGCTATGACATTAAAAATTCTAATACAAATCTTTAACTTTTCAGTGTTAGTAAAACAAAATCATTATTCTTAGAACAAGATCACTCCTACGTGAAATAACTAGAAAACAACTAGTATTTCTGAGTTTTGATTATCAAAAATAGGTTTTTATTGAAAATAAGCATGATTTTTGAAATCAGCATGCAAGAATACATCGAAACTCCTATATTTCATCACAAAATATCTCTGATTAGAATGTTCACTGTACTCTTCATGGTTTTATTCGTAAAATTTTGGATCGTATTTTCTCATAAAGATAAAATCAAATTGGAAATATTAAAAAAAAAATTCAAGTGTCTTTTTGTATGTTGATAATGAAAATCATACTTGTTTTCAAGAAAAATCAAGTTTTGATAATCGAAACTTAGAAAGACTAGCCGTTGCTTTAAGTATTTGGTGTCAGAGTAATACTGTTCTAAGAATTTTTTTTTATTAGCATTGAAAAGCTCTAATGTGTGATTGTGTTATCTCATATTGTCACATCACTTACAATTAAGCAAAAATAAAACTGACGCAGAAGAAAAAACTCATGCAGAAGACGCCATCTCCTTTCACGAAAGTCATCATTAGCATCTATTCTTTAATGTTTCTATACGTAATATTAATTGTAAGAAGAAAAAAAAAAACAACAACAAACATTGGTATTGCTGGTAAATATCCAATAAAAAAAAAACCTTCACTGCGTTTTTTTCTTGCGTTCTTTTTCTCATATGTTGGTTTTTTATAAATACGCAACGAATATTATGTACACCGACATACATTTATAAACTGAAGAAAAGGAAGTTGAAGGCATTTATCTTTATTGAAAACGATGAACTATCTTTTAAGACGTGAACGACGTCGATTAATTGAAGATTTAAATGACTTGTAAGTTACATATAATACTTCAAAAATATAGCTAACAAAATTATTCATTTTGATAGACAACTTGAAGAAGATCTTGAAGAACAATATGAATATTTTATTTGCTGTCTGAAAGTTTGTTTTTATTTACAAATAAATCTGTAATTTATTTATTAATTAAATAGAAATTAAGAAGACATCGATCGTATTCTGACGATAATGAATATAGAAATTATCATCGTCAAGTAGTTTTCGTTTTTTGTCTTATTTGAATAATTGAATATTTATTTTTGATTATTTTTAGCAAACAGAATATTGTTTAGTAACATTAACCTATCAACGTCCGAATACTCGACGAAATCATTTGGATGAAATAGAAATTATTCAACATAATCGAACAGTTTTCAAAGGATGTTTAGAATGTGGAGGTAACTGCTTTTCATATATAAATTTCTGTAAATATATATTTTAAAAGATCAATTAACATTTAAATCAAAACTTTATCGACATGAATCAAAAGTAAAATTAAAATTTTATATAAATGGTCTACTTGAAGATGAAATGATAGCTTGTTGTCAACATGGATTAATTCATAAAAATCCACATAGCTATTTATTTCAAATTGAAGACATTTTTGGATCAAAACCATGTTTCGAGTTAAGAGTATTCAACTAAATTTCTCGTTAAAAAAATGTCACTTTTTTTATCTAGATGTGAACCCCATAGTCATACCGTTCGTAATTTGATCGAATTTCATTTTTAGATTTTTTTTCAATTTTATTTAGTCAACATCATCAAGTTTAACTTCACATTCATTTTCAAGACAAAACTCTTTCACAAAAGTAAAGTTAGATTTATTTTTCTTTTCAAAAAAAAAGCAAAATATATGTATATTTTTCTTCTTATTCAACAGACTAAAGCTGCTTCATCAAATGTATTAACAGAAGGTAATTCTTTCGTTCTACATTTTCATATTTTAAACATAAAATTTAGGTCAATCTAACGGATCAAAATCAAAGGTTAGAATATTAATTGTTTTATAATTAAGCATAAAAATAATTCTCTAGGTGGAACTACCTACAATTCTTGTTTCACAAACAGCATCTAATAATAAAGCTTGTGAGTTGTAAATGAATCTTTCCTAATCAATTAAATAATTACATTTTCAGCAAGTGAAGGTTTTTCTTCTGATTTAACCAAACCTTCCAGTAATCATAAGCAAACATGCAATCAATCAAACGATGAACAGGAGTCTACGGAAGATTTGCCTGATTCCTTATCCAACAGTCTAGAATTACCATCGAAATCAATATATGGTAAATCCGTTTCTACAATAAAATACCACTGTGGAGTAGAGTTCGACAGTTTCGATTTTATTTCCAAAATAACATATGGAATCGAAACCATTAAATCATCAGATGCATACAAAAATTTAAAATATATTTTGAGAAATTTTCATTACTGGATTTGTTGAGATTGAAGACGCAACATATTTCAGTACTTAAACAAAATAAGATTATAGATATATAGTGGAATCTTTAATCTCAAGAAATTAAAAAAAAGAAAATTTTTCGACATAGATTTAAGAGTTTTTGTATCTGTCAGATGATTTTAGTGTTCCAAATTGTTTTTCCATGATTCTGGTTCCAATAATTTATAAAAAACTGGTTTGGATGCCACTTTCTTTGTTAATTATGGAATTCTAGCGTGGAAGAGCGCTGCACCTGGTGCTATAGAAGACCTCTTTAATAAATTAGTTTCTTACAAAGTTGAAAATTTAATTCATATATATATAGTAGTCCGCATAAGTTTTTACCTCAGCTGGTCTCGGTCACGATATGTGTCTAAGGTATGAAAATTTTGTGTGCAGTTACTTCATCAAAAACAAAGGTCATTAGAATTGCATCACCGTTATTACTTAATTACAAAAGGGATCATGATGGATGGCATCTATTTTTGTTGTCAGTCTTATACAACCCTAAAAAGAACAATTTTCTCTATCAGTCGACTCTTCAATAGGTAATGTTACATCTCCGTCATCTACATTATTAGTTTCATTTACATTCATCAATTCTTTCAAAGACTATTCTTATTTTATTGTGATCAGTGTTGTGCAAAGAAGCCATCTACTGCTCTTCTGAGGTCAATCACTAAGTGATAATACAACCAAACACGTTCACACTTGTTGAGAAGCTTCCTCAGCAGTTAAACATTATTAACTTCAAGTTTCAGAAGCAAATCTTGCAATAAGGAGAAATGAAAAATAGATCATAATCTTGTGAGTTCCAAAGCTTCAAAGACATCAATATTCGAGTAAATGAACTTATCTTTTGAATAAAGAAAGATCGTAGACGTGACTTTATCTAAATGTAAAAATATGAATAATTAATCATACTTTTAGTAAGAAACAGCACAACATTTTGTAGACAGTGGTTTTTTTTAGGCTGTCATGTCCAGAGCAAAAAGTATGTGTGGTCATCATAATTCCCATTGTAATTAAGCAATAATGGCATCGCAATGCCAATGGCGTACATTCTTGGTAAAGTACGCGTACAGGGTTACCAAAAATGTTTCGCCTGGGGAATTATAGCTCCAATGAGAAATAATATCAACATTGAGTTTTATACCAAATTAAAGTGCATCAAAAATGGGATTTATCAATATTAAATAGTAAGGGTTATGGCAAATTTTCAATGTCGAATTCATGAAATTTCTAATTACAATTTAGCGGCACATAGGCAAAGAAAAATTTTTTGCATGAGGCAGTTGTAATTAGGTCTGTAAAACTACTTCCTTGATCTTCAAAGCCATTTTAGTGTTTTGAAGAAGTATATTAATGAAAAATTATGAAAATAAATACAACACAATAGAAGACGTGCAATTTCCTTTTTGTCAGAAGGTGTTTAATATAAAAGAGTTTCATCGTAAAATGAAAACTGTTTTATTTCTAAGGTCCTCCTCAACTAGCGTCAATGTTATCTCTTAGTGAATCACTTGATTCGCCATCACCACATATTCATCATCAACAGACAAGTCAAAATCTGTTCAATTCATCATTAAATGCCGAACAAACTTCAGGTTTGAAAATTCTTATCTCGTAAGAAAACTATGTGTTATTCTTTAGCTGAATATACAAATTCGAATGTTGTTTCTAACGAAAATGTACTTGATTTATCAAATGAAACTAATCAATGTTCTCTATCATTATCATGGAATGTTGAAAGTAATCCAGACGAACAAGAGACTTCATTAAATTTGAATACTTCGAGTAATACTACTACTATTAATGATGCAACCCAATTATTACTTACTCGACTTGGATTAATACAACGTATGTATCTTTGTAAAATACTTCAAATAATATTTTACTAGACAAGTTTCTTTACCGATTATATTAGAACTAAAAATGAATTTAGTCATCTCGTAACTAAACGAGTAAACCGAGCTTGAGAAAAGAATAAAAATCACCCTATCAATACTGTTCACATATCGATTAAATTTTGATCAATGTGATAATGAAAACCAAGCAAACGTTCGCATTGGACCCACACGACCAAGAATGAAACAGAAGACTTTAAGACTTCGAAAGACTTCAGAAGGTTCCATAAGACGTTAAGAGACTTCAAGTCCGACGTCTGTATTGTTCCTCCTTTGCACACAACATTTTTTAACAGAATCTCATACTCATGTTTTATCTGTAATTATTTACTATATTACTCAACTGAAATTATCTTCATAGAAAAGCAATCGAAGAGAACTTTTGCTTAATTTTGTCAGTGAAGTCACGATTTACTATTTTGCCCTAACTGGATTAGTAATAAATGACAATTCAATAATTCAACAAATGTTTCAATATACTTTGATTTCATAAACATCATCGAATGAATTATTTGCCTTAGGTACTATTTAGTAAAATTCGAGATAATTCAATTACAGTCAAGAATAAACTTCTTTTAATAAAAACTATTAACGCAATCCTTGCGAGATGAAAATGTGAAACACGATGCAGCTGCTCTTGCTAATCATAGAAAAATTATCTTATTCAATTTATTTTGGGGCAAATTTCTTCACTATCCTTTTACTTAATCCTCTAGAACTCCAATAAAGTAGTAGTTCATATATTATAATGAGGCTTTATTGATATAGGACCTGTAAGGTATATGACGAGCATCTATTGCAGTTAGAGATGTAAGAAACCGCAAAAATAAACGCTTACCGAGGCTAAGACCACAGGAAAGATAAGCGGTTAGGACTAGAAGCAGAATTACAGGGAAAAATTTGTTGCGATCAGGACTCAAGTATATAGTGAAATATTATATGGTTTTAAGCAGACTATCTTATAAATCATATGAAGCAGAACATAACTCAAGAGGGATGACTCAAAAAAGTGCTAGTCGTTGATTACATAAACATAAAAATCGAGTATTGAGGAATTATGTTAGACTTGATATGAATAAATTTTGGAATCATTTTTTCTAGACCGGAACCGACACTAAAAAAGTTTGGCTCTGGACATCTCTAGTTACGGTCTATTATGGTCTCTGACTAACGTCTGTCACGGTTAGGAAAAGAGAAGGGAGAATAGTGCATATTTTTACTTTATATACTTCAACATTCCTTATAAACAATGTTTCATAAAATATAATATATCTGATTATAATATGTATAAGTAGTGAATAAAGATCAAAACGATCTATTGAAAAATATATATATAGAAAATAGAAACATGATATTCTGACAAATTGATTGAACTTGCTTTTCTGCAATAGAAAACTCCAGTATGTTTCATTTTATATCTACTTCTTTTATTTTTTTAACTAGAACAACAAATCGAAAGTTCAAAAGTCTTAGCTGGCAGTGCACCACGAGAAAAAGGCAATGTTGAATATTTTACTCTTGTTTATTTACATTCTTCATATCCTGATGAATCAATAATAAAACAGTTTCGTAGTCTCGTCAATTTCCTAAAAATTTTCAATGATATTGATGATTGTATTGCATTTATAAATGGCGTATTCAATGAAAAAGTTATTTTTATTCTTTTAAATTCATTTTCTAAATCAATTCTTCCAAGAATTGAAGGACTTCAACAAATTTTTAGTATTTATATTTTATGTGAAAGTGATGATGAAATTAATTTATCATTTCAACAGTTAAAAGTACAAGGTTGCTATAAAAATTTTAACGATATATATGAACAAATATCAAAAGATATACAGAAAACAACACGTGATTTGATAATTTATATAAGCATATCATCGAATTCTTCAACTACACTTGACATAACTTATTTATATTGTACGTTATTAAGCGAAATAATTCTTGATAAAAATGAGAGTAGAAATGATTTACAAGAATTAATTCAATTTTCACGTCAAGAATATGATGGTAACAATGATGAATTGAAAATAATTGATGAATTTGAAAAAAATTATCAAAAAAATCAAGCAATTTATTGGTTTACAAGACAATGTTTTTTATCAAAAGTAAATTAATTTATGTAGAAATAATTAAAGAAAAAATCATTTATTTTTAGATGTTAAATAAAGCTCTTCGTATTCCTGAAGCTGATATTTTATATAAACTTCGTTCATTTATTCAAGATTTATGTCAACAAATTGAAAATGAATCAGTAAAAGATTCAATAACAGTTTATCTTGGACAAACAATACAAAGAAATGATCTTGATGATTTAAAAAATAATCTTTTAAATAATGATCTCATTACATTTCCTCAATTTTTATCTGGTTCAACAGATCAATTACGAGCTATTCGTGTTGCTAAAGAACTTCCAGTTCAATCTGAAGAATATATACCAGTTATTATTTGTATTGATATACCAGCAAATTTAAAATGTGCTAATATACGTTCACGTCGATATTCAATTGATAATGATAATAATGTTTTATTAAATATGGGTATTATAGGACATTTAATCAAAGTTGAAAAAGAAAATGTTAATGAAAATCAAATTGCTTCTATTCATTTAACATTAGTTAAATGTGAAAATCAGCAAAAGATTCAACAAATACTTGAAACTAAGCGAACGGAAATCAAAAGTTTTTCTCAGCTTGTTACCGTAATAAAATTAATGATTACAATGAATCAAAACATATCAGCTGAACACATGGTTGAAACAATGTTTAATGATGATACTTTAAAAGCAGATATAAATACTCAGACTTCAATAGCTGCTAGTTATCTTGCACTTGCAACATCACGTCGTAGTCAAGATGATTTTAAACGTGCTGTTGAATTATATCTTCTTTCATTAGATGCATTTCTTCGATTTATGTCACCCAATACGTTAGAATTAACTTCACTTTATGGTAATATTGCTGGAATGTATTTACGTCTAGATAATTGTGAAAAATCTCATGAATATTATCAAAAAGCACTTGGTGTACAACTTCGTTCAAACACTCCAGATTTACTTACTATTTGTAATTATACAAATAATATAGGCATTATTTTGTCAAAACAAGGAAAATATTCCGAAGCTATTAAATCATTTCAACGTACTTTAAAAATTCTTGAACAAGTAACTGAACCACATGATAATGAACTTGCATTAGCTTATGATAATGCAGGTGATACATATCTTGTACAACTTAAATATAACGATGCTTTATATTACTATAAGAAATCAATTGAAATTCAAGAACGTATTGTACCACGTAATCCTAGTACATTAGGTTCTTCGTATTATACTGTTGGAAATGTTTATTTAAAAATTGGCCGATCTCATGAATCATTGACTTATTTAAAACTTGCTTTAGAATGTCAACAAGAATATTTACCATTAACACATCCATCATTTGCATTACTTTATAATAATATTGGTTTAATGTATTATCGAGAAGAACAATATTCAGATGCATTAAAAAGTTATTTTAAAAGTCTTGAAATTGCATCAATATCTTTACCAGAAAATCATTCATTAGTTGGGATAACACTTTTTAATGTAGCACTTGTTTATTCAAGTCAAGGAAAATTGGATGAAGCTATAGAGAGCGTAGAAAAATCAACTGAACAATTTTTAAAAACATTATCACCTTCTCATCCTGATGTGGTAGAAAATCGAGCATATATTGAATCGATTAAACGAAAAAAAATTCTAAAAGAACTTTTTGATGAAGATTTTGATGAAAATGTAACAAGTTTTTAAATCTTTTTTTTTTTGTTATTTTTTTAAATAAAATCCAGAATATTGCTCTCATTCACACTTTCTATGATGAAAACTAACTCGGATATTAGATAAACTAATCATATTTTGGATTGGTTAATATTCTAGTAGTCTGAAATTATATATTTTTCCCCTTAATTATCAATAGACACAATTGAAGTTCTAGAGTTGATGCTTGTCATAAATCGTCGTATCTTCTCACCTTAATAGATGTAAATGATGTCTTAAATATAATATAAGCATTAGAAAGTTGCGTTGATAGTATGTGTTTCATGGATGGTTAGATAATAAGGAATCATACATAAAAGATGTTCAGGTAAGAATGACATTTTTTCACCAATCCTCTCTCCTTCTGGACGTTCACTAGAAAAAAAAACTTTCCACAAAGAGCCTGCTTGTTCAAATATATTGTTTCTTTTTTTTATTAAATAACAGTTTATTAAACAGATATATTAAACATAGAAATGAATATATACATATGAAGAAAACGAGACAAAACAGTAGAGTTCGATGGTTCCAAAACAAAACTGGAATCGAACTAGAACAAACTTTTTACAAATTTCTTGGAACCAGATGCATAAAATCTTCAGATAGATACAAAAAATTCTCAAGTCTATATCGAGAAATCTTCACTTTTTTTATTCTTGAGATTACATAATTCACAATATATGTGTATAATCTTGTTTTGCTTAAGTACTGAAATATATGGCGTCTTTAATCTCAACAAATTCAATAATGACAATTTCTTGAAAATATATTTAAATTGTTCGTATTTATCTTATGATTTAATGATTTAGGTTCTATGTAATATATTGGAAATTGAATCAGAACCGTTTTTTTTCTTCTCATTTTTAGCACTCGAAGCTGTGGTTTCGATTTCGGATGACTTTTGGCATCACCAAACTCTACAAAACACATATTGCATAAACAACAAACAAAAATCTAACCTATTGCAAAGTTTTTGTTTTCTAAACGCATAGAATTTTAACGAATCAAAAATAGTAAAAACAAAAAATGAAGTTCAATACCAATGGCCCTCGACAATATAACAACATTCATATAACTGCTTCACGAAATAGATACCTGCTTATGTAACATAATCTTCAATTATTTCAACACCATAAAGGCCATCCCATTAGTTCTGAACCTCAACAAAATTAGTTAATATGTCAACAAAGAGTGATCTTCACCGAAATATATTTATATAGACTTCGACTACTTAGGACAATGTTTTGAATGGCATCTTATCCGATGACATTATCTCTTTGAATAATAGTGAGATAAATAGAAGAAACCTGATAATTAAGGTGCAAGTACAGAGAATAGCCATACCTACATCAACATATCGCTTTGTATAATTCTGTTACTTTACATACAATGAAATCATAGCACATTTAAGTTTCTAAAAAAAAAATACTGGTCGAATTGAAGATCTTAACTATCACGTTTTTTCTGTTTATATCAGTATTATTAAAAGGGATAATGTCATCGGATAATATGCTATTGAAAACATCGCCCTAAGTACTCGAAGCTCATATCGATATAGTAGAATAGTAATAATTCTTTGTTTACCTATAAACTAATTTTTTTGTTGAAGTTCAGAACTTATGTAGGAAACCCTTGATTCATATTCAACTTATTTCCTATTTAGATATGCTCTTCTAACTGAAAATTTTGCAGAAAGTTGTGTGGTAAAAGAGAAAAATATTCGCAGTAGATGTCTTGAACATCTAGAGATATTTATCCTCCTCTGCTCTGTGCAGATTCGCCCAGTTTTGATGGATCCTCCCGTTCTCTCTAATTGTCTAGATATCTTTTATGGATAAACTTTAATTGCTTCTTCAGTGAGTTTTGCTAATCTGTTCCAATTAAAAAAAAAAAAGAAACTTGACATTGCTATTGTATATGACAGATAAATCCTGTTAAGATTGCACTTGGTTAAAGACGTCAAGTATATCATTGCCGAACAAAAATGGCGTAACCTTGAAAAAATAAAGAATTGCTTTTCATTTCTCAAAAGATGAATATTGACTACTAGCTTTAGTTATAAATCATTTTGTGTATAAGTAATTTGATTATGTTTATCTTGTAGAGAAACGATTGTTTTCTATTTCCTTTGATGCATCTTTTGGTACTCAGTGTAGTGGAAGATATAATTTTTTTTCTTCTTAACATCATTTCATAATTTCTGCATGACACGCAAAGCTGAAGAAAGGTTTAACATTCTATCTTGCCTGAAGATTTTATATCATGATACGTTTATATTTTCTTTCTGTCGATTTTCTGTTGCATCGTCTTGGCATCAACGTAAAAAGAAAAGTAAGATTTTTTTTTCTTTTCTTATTGGCGTTGCAATATTATATTTTAACAATTCGTAAGACATAAACGTTGTTAACAATGACTGAGAACTCTACAGCATCCACAGTGGAAATCGCTCGAGCTGTTGATCAAGTTTGTTCTCCTTTATATGCACAATTGTTTCAAAAAGTGGCTAAAGAACAGCCTCATAATCTTTCAAACGAACAGCGTACTGTACTCGTGTATTATCCAAACGAGATCACTTGGTACCAAGGAGATAAACGTCAAGAAATAATTGAACGAATTCGACGTACTCATCTCAAATGGTTCAATAGTTGGTTAAGTAAACAATATACTGGCTTGCCACCGTATTTCAAATGGAGTTTAGTTATGAATGATCTCATGCTACATGCGACTAACTTATTCTTTCGAGTGGATCTCGATGATGTTATTACTAGCAATGAAACGCGTCGTGCTTTTCGACAAATCACAAATACTATCAAATGTATTTTGCTGAACATCAGCAAATCGAATCCGATAACCATCGATACAACTGCTATACCTGTTGTTCGAGAGCTTCTTTTAATTCTTTTCTATTTTACTTTGGATAGTAAACTTGCTATTTATCTTAAAAATCTTCAGTTAGTCGATCTCATGAATGCACTTATACAAACATCAAATAATGATGATGAAATTCATTTGCAAGCCTATCGAGTTCTAGCAGTTATTATGGCAGAAGCAGATATAAAACAACTGCAGAATTCAAGTAGAATTACTATTGTTTTTATTACTTTTATTAAGGATGCTATTGATGGTGGCGTTCCCTATGAAGCTCGCTTACACAATAGTCTTCGAAGTCTCAAAGGTTAGTTTTAGTTGTCTTCTTCGACGGATGATGATGATTAAAAAAAACAAAAAAATTCTTCTATTCTCTTAGATGAATATATCATCTTAATAACGAATTTTCATTCAACCGATATATTAGGAAACACCTAGTAAATACAAGATCCAAAGAAAATCCTTATATTGATTCTATAGCTATAACAGCATATACTTTGAAAATTAGACATATTATAAATTTCTCTCCAAATACTTTCTAACGCACTCATTTACAAACTTATAATTTTTTTTTCATTTAGTATTAACACAGCATGATCAAATTCGTGAAGAATTAATCAAACACGAAGGTCACTATCTTTTTCTTCGATGTGCTCTCGAAGATCAATTCAATCCACTCAAAGCAAAACTTCCTGCACTTCAAATTCTTCTTGCATTAGCTTTCAACAAAGACTTTGCTGCTATACTCAAAGGCAACGACATTTTTATGAATCATGTTCGAACATTGACTTCATCACCACAACAAGATCTACAATTAGTATCTACTGCATTGATATGGAAATTAGAAAAAGAATCAGAAACAACAGTCAAAACAGTTCAAGAACAATCTTCTTCAATTTCTTCATCGACGATAATCAAAAAACAATATGATATTATGATAAGTTATTCACATAATGATAAAGAACTTTGTCATCGAATTCTAAATTCTCTTGAGAAAGATCAATTACGTGTTTGGATTGATTCTCGATTGATGCATGGTGCTACATTTGATGCTATGGCTAAAGCTATTGAAAATGCAGAATTTGTACTTGTTTGTATGTCTGATGCTTACAAACAGAGTCCTTTTTGTGAAATGGAAGCTAGTTATGCAGTTAAACGTCGTTGTCATATTATTCCAATAGTGATGACAACCAACTATAAAGCTGATGGATGGCTTGGAGTATTAACTTCAGCACTTATTTATGTTGATTTTCCAAAGCTTGGTTTTGATAAAGCTTATCAAGAACTTAAGAAACAGATTGGCCTATTTCGAATGAATAATTCAAATTCAACACTTATTGAACAAGATCAAGTTCAGCATAATCCAAGTTATTTAGTGGATAATACACCGAAAACAATTCCGAGTGTTGAAAATAATAAAGAACTACATCCAGTTGTGTAAGTCTGTTTTAAAGATGAGAGTTAGAAGTATTAAACTACTGAAAAGAAACCTTGAAAACTTGTTGTGAAAGTTCTTTTTATAAAATACAGAGATCTTGATGATTTGAGATGAGATATAGTATAAATTGTGACGGAAATGTCCAACAGGTGTTGTCTGTATTTCTTACTGAATTCTTAGAAATCTGAAAAAAAGCATCATGTTTGTAACATTTGTGTCAACTGAACAACAGCGCAATGCTTATTCAAATTTACATTTATTGAGATGGAAATTTCTACTTGATAAATCTCAGAAATATTGTACTGACCCTTATTAAAAGTGTAATCTAATCGGCTGAGCTACCACCACCAGGATACCAAAAGAGGAAGTAGAGTTTTAAGAGTTGTTAATCTCGAGGATCAATTTTTAGAATGTCTGTGTCAAATTTTCTACTAGTGTATTTTTAATCGTTCTTGATTATCTATACATTGGTTTATACTTCTGTTTAATAAAGGAAAACTTGAACATTTTATCAAATGAACATATAATTCATTGTTTGTTTTATTGCAGGGAATATCCACATTGTATCGATATGTGGACTAAAGATCATGTCAAATCGTTTCTTCTTGATAAAGAACTTAGTATTCTTCTACTAGCTTTCGAAGGGATGAACGGTCATTTACTGCATAAAGTTTATGATATGTGCCAAGCAGGCCAACAAGCTATGTTTTCTTCATTAAAAGAAGACGTTGCTAGATCTCAACTAACTTTGGCACTCAGTTTGAAGGACTACCTTACTTTTCTCGAAGAAATTAAAGTCTACATACCATATAAAACTGACGATAAATTAAATCCAACATCAGTTATTTGTAATCTCATGTAATTTACGATATACCTTACTATCATTATCCTGGTTTTATTTTTGTTCTTCTTTCTCTTTTACATGTATCAATAATCAATTATATTTTATAGTAACTGCTAAATTGTTAACTATCTCGTTTTCAAAAATCTATAACATTAGTTTTAAATCTCTTCTTCTCTCAAATATGTGCATTTACACATGTGTATGCAAAAACCTGTACGTGTTGCTTTGTGGACATTTCTTTATAAATCTATCTACGTGAATGATTTCAGTTTCAAAGGGTAGGCTACGAAAAGTATCATATTATACTGTTCTTCAAAATTTCAATGATTCACTTTGGGAAGAAATAACATAAACATCAAGTATCTTTTCATCGGTAATGTACATCTTGTTACACTAGTGGTATTAATATTTTAAAAGTTTTCCATTGAAAAAAAAAAGTCGAATTCTTCGATGTTTTCTTTTAATCACTCTGTATTAGGAATTGTGGTATGACTGTGGTACACATGAATAAAATAAGCTTCGAATAGGGAGCCAATGATTTGCGATATTACACATTCATTTTGGAGTAATGATACAGTAGTCGCAACAAGTTTTGCTATCAGATAAAAAGCACCTGAAGTTTAATCATTTATTTTCATAGTTTAATCATAAATAGAACATGTTGAACTCTGATTCGCCTTCATACGGAAGAGTTAGAAGGCCAATATAAATTTTTTTCTTCAGACAAGGATATCTCAACATAAAAAAAACATCTTATAATGTTAGATCACTTAGCCGACAGCACCGTGCTGCTTCTATAACTAAAAAAATTCTATGTCAAACGATTTTAGTTTGCCTGCTTTATGAAGTATTTTTTGAGTAATCTTCACATGACAGTTGAAGGAAATCGTCAAAAACTGGCTGGTATCTTCAGATAATATTAACCACTTGCCTTGAAATGTTCTTCAATGAGTGCTTTGTTTTTATCAAGTTTTCGTTGAAAATTTCATAATCACAGCCAGCAATGGCGCTGTGACAAAATATAGGCATGTGAACCTTTATTTGCTAATAAGAAAATGGAGATTGACTCATTTAAATTGTGAAAAACCAGAAATGTTTCAAAAAAAAGTATTTTTAGGCTTTTACGAAAGAACCAGTGCTTTCATCGTAAATCCTTTGCATTAAGATCTACTGATCTCGTGTTACTACATGTGATCAGGGTTTATTGAGCACTATTTGCAATCCAAATATCAAGCAAAAGCATTTAAGTTTATATACTTGTTATGTGATAGCAGGACTTCTTTCGACTACTATAATTTTTATCAATATTATTCTAGATAATCAATAGTCTCTCGTGAGTAAAACTTAAACTAAAAGTACACTTTTTTAATAGTAAAAAAATTTTCTTAAATATCTATATTTTAATATTTTTAAAATTAAAATTGTTTGAAACCTTTTATGTTCTTCTTCTATGAAATGAATTTCTCATATTAACAAATGACGATTATTTATTAAATGATCTTTGTAAATGTGAAATGAGAATATGTTTGCTTAATTATTTGATTTGAAAAATATTTTTTATTACTTCTTCTTTCTTTAAGCTTCTTGTTATATATGATTGCTAAGTTTTTCGTCTGTATTTTTTATGAAATAAACTTCTATATAAAAACAAAAACCGTTGAAACCTCCAGCTTAAAATATCTCAAATTGAAATTAATTTCCCTAGCACAATTTAGTTTAAATGAAATCAAACTGCATTTTTGCCGAATAGAGATACGGCGAATTTTAGTTTATTGTAATAAAATGCTATTGAATATTAAATTGTCAATTAGTCTTAACATTTTGACAATTCAATCCGAAACAACACAAATTCTCAAAAAAAAAAACAATTTGCATTGTACTTTCATTATAAATAATTGCTTAGAAAGATTTTATTTCAAAAAATGTCTCTTTTGATTTATATTTATGATCGTTTTTCATCATCATCTTCAAGAACGTGCGTGCATTTTCTCTTTTGATTTTGTATAGGTTGCTCGCATTCATATATGCATGCAACGTGACTTCCTTTCTAAAATCAGAATTAATGAGACTTTCTTAATCTTTTTATTTTCTTCATGCTACACATCCGGTTTGATGGACGATGCGTGCATACTATGCGACTTTTTTTTTCTATGAAGTGCAAAAGAAAACTTAACAGCTAAAGATTATTCTGAATAAAAGAATAAATAGTAGTGTTTTTTTAAATCAATATAGAAATATACGAGCTGTACGTAGACGAAGTGTGACCAAATTTTTAAAAAAATCAAAGTAATTCCTGAGATCAAATAAGAAGGACAGAATGCTAGAATAGTACTGAAAAATCAAAGATTGCGCTTTCATTCAAAAAAATTGGATGTTTATTCTTGAAACAAGTGAAAAGAAATGTGTCACATAATGATTAATATGCAACAAAATGAGAAAAAAATATTTTCTTGACCGTTTAAGGAAAATCTATAGTTCTCCAATGACCGATTTATTGATGCAGTTGTTTTAAAATATTCTTAGAATATGTCAAATTTTTTCTTATCCTATAAAAAATACCCAGCTTCTCGAATAAAAGGATACCAAATGAATCTTATGAAATTACACATAGAATAACGACATTATAGCAAAAATTGTAAATACTCTGTATTCATATTTTGCTATAAAATATAAGTAAATCTAAACGACTACCTTTTTTAATCTTATTCACAAGCATCAGTATCATACAATACAGTATTTTATTTCGAGAACAAAATTAAATAGAATGTTAGAAATTGATTTTTAATTGTCAATCTCTCTCGTGTCGTATGTAAGAAAAACGCCGAAAAAACTTTGATCGTTTTAGTAATAATAAGACGTTATACTGTCTCTTCCTATAAAATTTCAAAAAGTCCAATGAACATCGAGGATTGTATTAGAAAAAACATAAAATATCATTTTTAAAGTATAGAGAGAAATAAATCATGCAACTTTTTTTACGATAAAGAATGGTTTCGGATAGTATTCTTCATCGCTAACTAGGGACACCTATTGATAACTTTCATTACCATATATAGAAAAAAGTATAACATGGACCAATGGACTGAAGGAGTTTGGCAAATGTTTTCAAGTATGTTTCACTTCATATTACAGAATAATCATCTATTAGTCATAGGAAATCATTTGTTCTGACATCAAATCAATAAATGGTTGTGCAATTCAGCATGTACATGAACCAAAACTATCGTAAACAACGTAAAAAAGCTAAGCTATTCATTCTACAGTTGAAAGTAAAATAAAACAATTTCAAAGAATGAGTGAAACCGAAACCGATGATGATGAATGCTATTATGATATGACAGAATTATCACCTGTTTCGCCGAAATTCGCTGAACAAAATGAATTAGAAAATAAAACTAGCGAACCATCAACTCCTGCTGATGAATTTGACGAAAATTTTTATCAAATTCCTGAAGATACTCAACATGAAACTATTCAACCATATATTGATGAACCATTAACACCATCTGATGAAATAAATCCAAATTTTCATTATTCTATTTTAACTCAAAATCAATATGTTGAATTAATGATGAATTATGTTGATGAAGTAAAAGATATTCTACAATTACCACCGACTATTATTAAACTTTTATTGCATTATTTCAAATGGAATAAACAACGATTATTAGAAAAATTCTATGAAATTGATCATGATGAATTTTTTCAACAAGCAAAAATTGTTAATCCATTTGCTGAAAAAACCTCTGTAAATGAATCAACTGGTACATGTTTTATTTGTTATTCCGATGAACAAAAAGAAATGTTTAGTCTTGAATGTAAACATACATTTTGTAATAATTGTTGGAAAAATTATTTGATGAATCAAATTATTAATGAAGGTCTTGCTCAAACAATTGTTTGTCCAGATTCTCAATGTGAAATTCTTATTGATGATGAAACTATCACAAAATTCCTTGATAATAATGAATTCGTTAAACATATTTATACAAAGATCATATTAAATTCCTATGTAGATAATAATCCTCGTGCTCGTTGGTGTCCAGGAAAAAATTGCGGTCATATTATTAATGCAACATCTCTTACATCGGCTTATAATTATGCTCAATTGATTACATGTGATTATTGTCAAACATCATTCTGTTTTCAATGTGCTCAACCATGGCATGATCCAATAAAATGTATTCTATTATTACAATGGAATAAAAAACTACTTGATGATAGTCATACAATTGTATGGTTAAAAGCTAACACAAAAACTTGTCCAAAATGTAAAGTAAATATTGAAAAGAATGGTGGTTGTAACCATATGACATGTAGAAAATGTAACTATGAATTTTGTTGGCTATGCTTTGGTAAGTACAATGAATTTTGCAATGAAAAACTACAGAACATGAAGGATGATACATACTCTGTTAGATTATAATTCAGCAATCCTGAGTTTGAGTTTGACTATGATCTCAGATCTGATAAGCAGAAGTAAAAAGCAGAACAAAGATTTTTTTAAAAATATTAATGAGAACAGCAAATTGTATGAAGTAATGGAGCACAGACAAATAAAGTTACAATTATGAAAAATATTCATAATTGTAATGTTACTTATAAATGCATAATCACTAATGAGAAACAACCAGAACTAAATATTCAGTAATGTAGAGGGCAATTAAATTGCAAAAGATTTCATTCACTCACAGAGGATCGTTTTCAACTGATCAATCATTTTTTAATTCGAACTTCATGCATAAACTAGGCTCTAATGAGATATGAATAACCCCAAAAGAATAAGTTCTCTTAGGTTTTCTATCTAGAGTTATAGGTATTTTGTGGGAAGTTTTGCCTCTGTCATGGTATATACCAACAAGTCCGATGACAATATTTCGATCTGAGATTTTGCCCATAGATAAGTCTACTTGTCAGTAGAATGCTTTGAAAATGCTAGCTTAACAGAATATTTCTCTCTCGAGATAATATAGTGTCAAGAAATCACTCATATTTCATGAAAGATGCTAGAATTTCCT